TTCGCTTTCCATTGCACCAGGGAGCTGAGTCACCTTGTGATCCTTGTGCTCACCAAACAGTTTGTCAAAAGCTCGGATTGGCATCTTGCAGGTAGAACAAAAAACATCCGCTGCTTCCTCCTCCTCACTGACAGTCTGACTGTTCCACTCATCTGACATGCCACTGCTGCTAAGCCCCTCTCTGGACCATATGTGGCTCTCAGCCTCGTCTTCTGCTCTGGGTTTGCTCTGATCTTCATCAAGAGAAGCCTCGCCAGGAAGTCCCTGTTGCTTTGTGCTTTGACTTTGATCTTTCACTGGAGAGCTGCTTTTTGATGCATTATATATGGAGCTATGTGATCCTGCTTTTTCTGTGCGAGCAGGTGGCCATCTGCTCTCCACCATCTCCAGACGTCCTCCAAGAAGCTCAAGCTCTTTTTCTCTGTCCTCATCAAGTCCATACATCTTAGCCAACTCTGCAACCTCCTTTTCCAAGTCATATCCAGCTTCTTGTGAACACTGAAATTTTTTGCTACTCAATGCAGATTCCCTTCTTGTATCATCCAAAGATCTGTCTCCTTGACCAGATATCTCTTTGGGAAAGATATCAAACCTCTCCTTTGATCCATAAAGATCCATGTGATAAAATATCAATCCTTCACCCTCAGTCTCACTAGATTCTGGGACTGGTGGGGAAGCTGAACGACCGGGCAACTGGTCACTAGTTTCATACTCTCTTGTGCTGCCAGATCTGAATGACATTGGTTTCCTCAGGGAGGCTTTTGAGATGGTAAGTCTCAATCCTGTAAAAGATAAGCAAGATCCTTAGCTACATACTTAGATATCAAGCATGAGTTTTTCTTGCTTAAAAATATATAGATGGAATAGGTTTGGCTAAGGACTGCTCAGGGCCTGAAGTTAGGCATGGGAAAGAACAAAGCTGGTGGCTTTACTTCCTAAGTGAAGCTTCTGAAGTGAAGCTATGAGAAGCCTTTTTTTGTTCATGTCTGTGCAGAGCGAAGCGGAGAGCAGTCTCTGGTGTACATCCTATGTTTTCTGAATGGCTCATCTGTGACCCTGATGTCTGATTTCCAAACTGTGTAGTAGTCCTGTCCTCAGCTCAACACTGCGACTGCACTTCAGGCGCACTTTATGCTGTTCTGTGCAATTGGAGATGGCCTAATTTGAAGTCTGCTCATCCTTCAGCTGCTGTCAAGTGCTCTTTCTGAACTGTCAGTCAGGCATACTATAGGATGCCTTCCCTTGTGACCACTGATGCCACATAAAACACTAGTAAATGCCCTGAAAAATCCTGTTCTGGATTTTTCAAGTTGCCATTCTTGATATTGAAACTTGAGGTTTCTTTTAACATTTTTCTCAGTCCATGTCTCAGGTCCTTTCTAAGAAATAGGGAGAAATACTGCCCTTTGGGGGTTCTCAGGTGCTGTGAAAATATGAAGCTCAGAAGAAAGTTCAGTTATGATCTCCATGACAAAGCACAGAGCAACTAGGAAGCAGGGCAGGTCAGTGACCCCTGAATTGAGATAAGCCCACTCTGACCCAGAGCTTGCCCAGTTTGTCCATTCTGTGCAATGAGGGAGGTGTGAAAAGAGCATGTGGATGCTAAATGCAAAGCTGTATGATAAAGCAGATGCACATGGAACAACATTAAAGGTGAAAAGGCAATTTTAATGCTGACTCCCCAAGCCCACTCTTTCCAACCATCCTGTATTAACAACAGCACATGAAATAATGGTAGTACAGAGACAGTGCCCAGTCAGAGCTGAAACATCCCCACAGCCCTCCACAGCATGAACAAAATCACCAATACAAAACTACTCAGGTCAATTTTATCACCAGTTTACTAGTACAATCAAAAGAGTTAATTGAAAGAATTCAGCTGAAGATTAATGAACCTATAGTTACATCTAGTTCTAAGTGAAGCATATGAAAGCTTTAAAACCACTTTCTCACAGAAAAAAATCCAAAAGGTTAGCAAGTTATCAGAGCTTTTGCAGAAGCTTTCACATAAGCTTTGCTTTCAAACTACTTTTTATGGTCTTTGTAGTTTTGAGTACTTGCTATCACCTCAAATTTATTCCATAAATATTTTACTAATATACCTGAGGATTACTTAGCTAATGAAGTCAACACAGTCAGTGACTTATTAGGAAGCAACTTCTCAAACCAGTGAAAAATGCTAAGAAACCTCCCACGCTCTGATTTTATATCAATGACTGAAAACAGTCCAGCCTACCAGATCTGTAAGAAAACACACACAGAAGTTCACCATTTGTCTTCTGGCACTGCAGACATGGGTGTGGATTCTACAGCTAATGATATTGTACTATAGACAAAACCGCTGAAGTTAGGCAGAAATACTATTTATGCTAAAGGCAATAAAATAAATCATGCAAATTCTAACATATTAAACAGAGAAAAGGTCTTGACACATACCAGAAAATGTTGTCTGGCTCCCGCAAAGACTTTTTTCCCCATAATTATAACAGTAAGGCTTGCTTTAGAAGCTACTACTAACTAGAAAAGTGAATTAACAAGTATTTTTCCTACCTAAATGAAATTAAATTACATAAATTAAAATGAGCGTAATTAAGCTTGTCTGGAACCCTGCTGCTTAAATAAGATTTTCAGATGATTGCTCAGTGTTTGCTCAGTTTACAGGCACAGATAAAATTACAGTGCAAAATGTTTTAAGTCCGTGACCGTCAGTTATTGAAAATTCATAACAAAGAATGTTACTGCCTAAAAACTTGCCTTCTATCTTAAGACGTCATAAATCCTTCTGTTAGCTCAGATGGCATCAAACTTCATATTTATTTCCCCTAGTAAAAATTAATTCACACGAAAGCAATTCCCTGCCACTTTTCTATGACTGCAGTTAGAAGACTTATTGCTGTAACCCTAGACCGCCTCTTTGCTCAGATAGGGACACGCCAGCAATGAGCAATGGAACAAATATAGATGTGCCCCGGCTGTCCTTCAGCAGTGTGCTACTTGAGTGTCACCAGGATGAATGTCATATACTGAGAAAAGGCTCTGAATGTTGATTTCTGGATCTGAAGTACTTGGAACAATTATAGAGAGTCCTCACTAAAGACAGAGAACTCTCTCACTTTCTGAGGTGGTATTAATAAACCCTGCAGAGTGCAGTCATTGACTCTAGGTGTGATTTCCAAGGCTGTGGTGCTAGGCAGAGTATCGTGTGTGGGGTACCCAAAACATGCATCCTGCACAAACTAACTCAGATGGCTGGATGCACGCTTACAGCATTGCTGCACAATTAAATGGAAGTATCTGTTCTGTTCTTTGCAAACACTGAATGGCAAAGTCCTCTCTATTAGCAGAAGCTTTACTGTGTGGTTGAGTTGGAATCAAGATCAGATTCTAGAAAAAAATACTAGAATTCAGAATTTAGAAAAAGTCTAAATTCATAATATTGCATACACTTATTATACACACATCCCCACCTTGTATGTGTATGCTAGACCTCTGGAAAACTAATTCTAGTGAAGAAAGCGGCCAATGGCTCAGCTAGGAAGGGTTTTCACAGAAACATCCCTTCAGTCTGTGCTCAGTAGTGGTTCACCTGATAAAACCCAGGCTGTATATTACCACTGATTATTGTGATTACTGTAGCACTTGAGCTTTATGTATCCACTCAAACCCACAGTTGTCCAGCATACATAATCTTCTACTTGTGAATATACTACTGAGCCAGCCTTGCTGGCAAGATTTTTAAGCACATTTGAGAACATTGCATTATGTATGTCTTGAGCTCAGAGGACAGTGCAAGGGAAAATGTTTATTGGATCTTGACACAGCTCTGCTTTATCCTCCTTTTCCAATTAAACTTGGTGTCATCTCACATTTCTAGCAGTACAATTGTTTTCTGTTTTGGTAAGGAATTACAAGTTAATCACCCATGTAGTCATGAGCTCTTTACCACTGAAAGTACCTCTATCATCTGTGAGATGAGAACAGAAATGTTTTCACATAAACAATGTAGCCTTTGCTGAAATGTTAACATTTATGCTGTCAGACAGATTTTTTTAAGTTTTCAAATGAGAAGTTATTTTTGCCATATACTTTTAAGCTACACTGTATCACAGGCCTTAATTTTTTGAAAAAAAAAAAAAAAAAAAAAAAGTACAAAATAGTTTTGTTTCCAAAGACTAGAATATAACATTCTGTTTACTATGAATCAAATTCAGCCTCGCATACAAGGCCTGAATAAGAGATTTGTGCTATATAAAAGCCCCTTTGCTCTCAGCTTCCCTCAGAGGCTGGTAAGGTGGTATTTAGGCAGTGTAGTAAGTATGACCTCAGGACTAACTCTGATTTAAAGACAAGCACCATTTGATCGAAAGGTGGTTTGTGGCCACAGCCTCTGGGCATGTGGCACAGCAGGTGCTGGGGCCACTGGTCACCCCCAGGGCTTGAATGCTGACACAAGGTAGTGCACATCTCCGTTTTAAAGCCCAGGGAAGGTGCGGGGTTTCGGCTGGCTTCGGAGAAGGGAACAGCTGGTAAAATTTTGCGAGGCCCATGGGAGTAATGGCTGGTAGGGAAACTGCTCTCACACGGCAGCTTCCCCTCAGCCAGCGGCCAGCACGATCAACGGCTGCAAGCCAGCAGGCGCAGGAAAATGGCGGAGGCCTCCCGCGGCGTAGGGACGCCCTGAGGTAACGTCGATGCTCCTCCCCGCAGGGCTGTGTGTCCTGTGCACCCTGCCCACCGCTCTTCACTCACACAAATAAATGCTTGTTTCACGTAAATAGCCTTTTTGTTTTTTTTTTTTTCCACACTCGAGGCCTTTATGCCTGCGGTGCGCAGGCCCCACCTCCCACTCTTTAAACTTTATCACTCATTTCCTTATCAGCTACGTGAGGGCCGCCAGCCCCGTCCCCGCCCACCCCGCGGGCCCTCCCCCCTGTCCCCGCCCCCAGACGACGCCCGCCAATAGGTCCGCGAGTTGGCGGCTGGAGGGGCCCGCCCCCCTCGCCGGGCGCGCGCGGCGCCCTCGAGGCGTGACGGTTTCTGTTTCGCTCCGCGGGGGTTACGCGGCCGCCGCCATCATGGACCCGCAGCCGGATAGCCTGGAGGGCTGGGTGGCCGTGCGCGACAACGCCTTCGCCGAGCTCCGGACGCCGCGGCTCCGCTTCCTCGTGGGCTGGAACGGCGTGGAGGGCGCGTTCGCCGTGACCTGCCACGGCCGGGCGGAGGCGGCGGGGCAGGCCCCGCAGAGCTGGGCCGGCCTCTTCTCGGCGCCGGCCCTGCGCGGCGTCCACCGGCAGCTGGCGGCCGTCTGTCCGCGCCTGGAGCCCGCCTTCCCCGCTCTGCCGCCCGCGCTGCCCGGCGCCGCCGCCGCCGGCGGGCTCTGGGCAGTGTTGTTCCCCGGCGGCGCGGCGCCAGGGGAGGCCGAGGTGCAGGAGCTGTGCCGGCAGCTGGAGCTCTACCTGGGCTGGGCCCTGGAGCTCTGCGGCGGCCGGGTGGTGCTGGACGCCCTCTTCGCCGCCGACCGCCGCCGCGACGACGAGTACTTCGAGAGCCTCCACGAGCTCCGCGGGAGGGCCTTGCGCGGCCACCTGGCCCGGGCCAAGGAGGCCCTGCGGCGGGTACGGGCGCCGGGGCCGGGCGGGGGGGCGGAGGGGCCAGCAAGCGCCCCCGGCCTGGGCCTGCTCCCCCGGGGCTGCCCCGGAGGGTGCGGGGTAGGGGTGCTGCGGGGCCACCCCCTGCTCTCTCGGCAGGCAGAAAAGCGTTTCCCAATGTGTAGAATCGCCGCCACTGTATTGTGCTGCGGCACAGCTGGCGAGTGCACCTGGCCGAGCCTCGTCTTTAGCACCTCTCGCTCACTTAGGAGTGGAATGTCTGAGGTTGGCAGCCTCTGCTGCAAGAGCTTCAGTCACTCGGGTCAGACTCACGTTTTGGGTAATGTGGGCAAGGGTGGCCAACTCGCTAATGCCATCTTGCTCATTGTATTGTCCAACGTTCAGATTAATGCTTACACAAACACTTCTTTGGTTGTCTGGAAACTGCAAGGTCAACTTTTTCAAGTACTGAGTGTCATCAGTCCTTGTAAGTGCTACTTTATTAAGTGGGGAATAAGCCAGATCCGGGTGGGCAGTCAACATAAGACATTTGGGCACTTAAGCTGCAAGCGCTCCTACAAAAACACATTGCTAAAAATATCCAGCAGTGTTGTGCAATAGGTGACCGAAAGGGAGAGTACAATCATACGGTAATCTTCTGACCTCCCTATGAGGGTCTCAGGCTGCCTGATAGCAGTAATGACTATAACTGGGGGATTCTCAGGTTTTTGTATTAAAACCAAACTTAGCCGTGGATCTGTGCCAAATAGCTGTTTTGTAGTTGGAGAAATTGTGTTAGGTTTTTCAGGTGTCAAATTCTGGCCTAATGATTGTATGAATTTATGATTATGTTACCCCTTTTTCCCTTTATTACCATAGATGTGTTCCTTGATGTCTTTTTTTTCTCTTGTAGTAAGCATGAATTTAAAGGATGGTATCTAGTAACATGGTTGCAATTAAGACATTGGTGTGTAAAAACAAGAGTTATGGATACTTTAAGCTCACAAGTGTGCTGCTGCTATAGTTTTCTTGCAGTATCTGTTTGCAGTCCATTTCCTGGCAAAGTAAACCAAAAAGTATTTTATGAAAATGATCATGCTTTGAAGTAAAGTTAAGACAGTTGGCTTTAGCCTTCTGTTTCCTATTTCAGTATTTAACAGCTGTAACAACATTACTGTTTCTGAAAGACACTGTTTTTAAAAAGACAACTTTAGTTTACATGAATTTCATGTACAGTGTTGTATATAAAAGTTATGATTTCTGTAACTGACTATAAGAGTTCATGGCCCGGTTAGAAATACATTCTAGCCACCATGCTCTTTCGCAGGCAGCACGAGCATGTACAGCCATGCAGCAGTTTGGGGTTTGGTGGTTAAGCATAACTCAGTGCCAATTACTCTGCTATTTCCAACTATATTTTAGGTATGGCTAAGTGTGCTTTTAGAGTGTTGTAGTTGCAGGCTTAACAGGAACATAAATTCATTATAGTGCAGTCTAGTCCAAGTTAGGCAAGATTTAAGAAATAAAACCTGCTTCTTCTGTCCCTAAAGTAGCCTTAAGTATCAGAGCATCCTTCTATCCTTTTTACATCCATGTTCTTCTCAAGTACTTTACCCTATGGAGCAAGAAATTAATTTTGAAGCATGCAGAAGATACCAGTACAAAATGGAAGAGAGTAGTATTGTGTGAATTTTTGCATATGTGTTCAAAGACAGAAAAAGAAAAAAAAAAAAAAAAAACCAAAACAAGAACAGTACTGTTACAACAACCAGAGGAGTCACTTGGGCTAATGATGAACCAGAAGTCTCTGAAAATAGCATCAGTGTGTAAAAGCAAGGATTTTATTTTAAAACTGACAAAATGTTGTGTGCCTTCCCACCTCAGAGCTTTGTAATGAATAATTGTCTCATGAGTTGACTTTAAAATTTCACTAATACTTCCCCTCTACTTACTGTAAACATTCGCCAGGAGCAGCATGACCCTCACTACTTGCTTTGAGTTCGGGAACCAGGAAGTGAACTATTATGTTTCTATTTGGCTTTAATAGCGGAGAAAAAGGAGACTCAGGTTGCTGCAGGTGGGCCCCCTAGGACTGTGTCTGAGCTACTATGAGCTCCTGGGCAAGCCTAAGGGGCCACAGGACTTCTGGGATTACCAGAAATGTTGCAGTTCAGATCCTCTTGTTCCCTGGTCCTGCCTGTGCCGGCCTGGAGGGAGGATGGGTAGGATGGGTGGGAGATGCCCTTGAACTGACTTCCACAGACTTCCCTTGGGGAAATGCCTCCACAGTTCAGAACTTTGCTCCTGTTGTCTTACCCAGACTGAGCCAGCGAGAGTAAAGGTGATGGTTTAATTTCAGTGCTTTTCAGTTGCAACACAACCAAGCTTATGTTTTCTCATTATTGTAGCACCAAACAGCCCCTATTCCCTTCCCTCCTTACAGAGCTGTAGAGCAAACACTGGCTTTCCAAGCAGGTCTGTGTTTCTCAGTGGAGCTTAGTTGTGTTCTCTCTGTTGTCTCACTCTGTCCTGGCACATAGAACATGCCATGGTCTCTGGTAGCTGCTGCCAAAGAAAAATCTTTGAAGCTTTGATTTGTGCCAGTAAACAAATGCAATTGAGGGGAAGTTTCCAACTTTGTATTTTCCTATAGAAGCAAATAAACACCTTAAATAAGGATGTGTATCAGAAAGGCAGTTGTTCCATGAAAGAATTACAAGTTACAAAGTGAAATATCAATAGAACTGATATTAGAATGAACTATTATAAAATATACAAATGTTAAAGGAATTTAACTGCAGGGTATATCAGGTGTAGAAATCTGTTTCTGAATTCTTATTTTTAAATGGCAATCTGATTTTTCTATGCCCGAAGTCAGAAATTCTGGATCCAGAAACTCATATTAGCAGTCATTTAGTAGTTGTGGAAGCAATGCAAGAGCTGGTTTAAGAATACCTTACTTATCCTTCCAGTACACAGACTTCCCCAGTTTCCCATATGTGTTTATAAAAAGCAACATGAAGTCATCTGCACATAGCTGCTAGAATTTCTGTGGTGGAAGCCCTAGGCATGATTCTCCTTGCAGTGTTCCAATGCAATATGCAGCAATTAGTGCCTTTAGCAGCGTGGTGTTAAAGATATTTCCAGCTAGGGGTGACTGCTGCATGCCTGGCGAACACCTCCTGTGTAGTGGGAAGTCTTGCCTGTTCGTAGACTGACAGACGGCAAGTCCTTTCCACCAGACCTTGTCAGCAGCACACACGAATGCAAAGCAGCTAAGTCTGATTTACCTTTTATCCCACTAGGTTCTTCAGCAACATAAAAATGCTGACACAATGGTGGCTTTGATGAAGGTTTATGAAGAAGAAGACGAAGCTTATCAGGATTTGGTCACCATGGCAACACAATTCTACCAGTATTTACTGCAGCCCTTCAGGGATATGCGAGAGCTGGCGACACTGTACAAACTGGAAATCCTGGTATGTCTGCATTTACAGAGTGAAAGGCCAAGTAACATAGTAGGGCATCAGCTACTCTTGGAGCAGTTTAGACTCAAATCACTTCACGTTCCCTTGTTCTTTCTGTACCTGCTTTTTTTTCCCCTGCCAAGCCACCGAACATGACTGAGAAATTCAGAGTTAGGACAGAACCATGGGGAGGATCTCAGAGTTCATGGTATTGGCTTGGATAGAACTGCAGCTGTCTTCCAACTAGTGTCCCACTTCCGTCTGTTTTGAAGAATTAAAAGGAAAACATCCCCAAGCTCCAGCTCACTGGGGTTTACTCTCTGGTAGGCTGAATTTACAGAGATCTAAGTAGCCTTCATTGTGCCACCTTCAGCAGGATTAGTTTGTGACATTGAGAACATCCCCCAGCAATGCTGATGCACCAGATTAACTCAGTTGTGGTGGTAGAACAGAAGGCGGAGGAGACTTTGCCACACAAAGCAGTTTTCTATTGCTGCTACAACCTGCTAAAAGTATGGATTAAAACATGTCAGTTGTCACTGTGTTCATTTAATTTCATGTGCATCTCAAACTGGAAGCACATACTGAAAGCTATGATTTCCCTGGAAAAGACAGCCATCTATTATTTTGATTTTTCCTTAAATAGTCTGTTAAAGTGCACTGTTCATGTTCTTGAAAAGAGCAGAACAGTTTTAAATTTAGACAAAGGTTCTTGGATACTGAAGGTCTAAATCTGTGAAGATAAAATATCCAGTATGATGTACTGAAAATTGGAAATTAGACTGAATGAAACAGTTTGTATTAACAAAACCTTTAAGGGATATTTAGGCTCATTTGATAACTAATTCTTTAAAAAAAATATTTGAGTACTAGTCTTGTACCCATGTACACTTTGTGGACTTGAAAATACTTTTACATTTCTTTTCAAAATCCTGGATCCTGTGTGAAAGTACTGCCAAATTGGAGAACCTGACAGTACAATGTGCTGTCAACACATGAGGGAAAAATAGAAGAGAACATTGCACGTAGAAGAGTGGTTTTGAGTTACTTTTAGTAACAACTAAAACCATGTTTGTGTTGGACATGATTTTTAAGATGATAGTTTAAAAATATTTTACGAAATAAATTGATCCAGAGTTACGTGTGAAGTCATGATTGGGGAACAAAAGTTCTGAGTTACCCTAGAGAATGAGGAACAAGGCAATACATAGGCATGAGCAGTGATTCACTTTGTGAGGGGAAGGTCGTATTTGTTGCCATGCTCTGCCTTGCTTGGAATGTCTTTATAGCATAATGCAGGCTGCACCACTCTGGTAACCAGTTGGTAACTGAGAATTTTGTCTCCTTGTAGAAATCTTTGCAGTATGATAATTTGGGCCCTAAAAGAGTAGCAGCTTTGCAGAAAGATGCTGAAGAATGGACTAAGCGAGCTGAGAATGCTGTGTGCTCCATTCAGGATATCACTGTGAACTACTTCAAGGAAACTGTAAAGGCTCTGTCAGGTAATCAGAATGATTTACATAAAAGGTTGTGTAAATACTTGACTTTGGCGACTGAGAGCTCTCGCTGCAAACTCTGAGGTTAGGATAAGTGTCCAGCTTAAGAAAGAAGCATTTTATTCACTTAAGATTTCTATCTTTTAACCAGTTTGGTTTACAACTTGAATTTGGCTTGTACACAAACATTATCAAGGCCTGAGACTTACAGCTGCAAACCTCTGAACAAAAGCCATGCACGCTTTTCGCTTGTAACGCTTGATATGCAAGCCTGTTAACTGAGTAGGTTGCTGCATTACTGTTAAGGCATATTTCCATGGTACAATGGAGTATTTTACTTACATATATGAAATCATAAATTCAACCTTTTAGTCTTGCAATTTATAAAGAAGCTTCAGAAATTGTTTAATAACATCAGCATTTTTAGTACTGCAGCTATTGTAGAAACACACAAGGGCTATTAGTACACTGCATTTCTATCTTATTGCAATGTTTTAATCTGCAGCAATGCACAAACAGATGGAACAAGATCAGGAGAGATTTGGTAAAACCACCTGGACATCAGCTCTGCCACGACTAGAAAACCTTAAATGTATGTTAGCTAAAGAAACCCTTCAGCATCTGAGAGCAAGAGAGTTGTGCCTGAAACAGAAGAGAGCTGGCATTCAGAAAAATGTGAGACCTTGAAAAGCCTCCTTTTCTGTTACTGTTTGGTGAAGGGCTGATCAAAACCTGCTGTAGTGGACATGGGAGTACACCTTCACATTCTTTGACTATGAAACAGCTTGGGTTTTCAACATAGTTTTAAGTTGTGAAAAAAGTTTTTTTAAAATTGTTCCTGCACATATGAGGACACTTAGCAAATGTTAAGATGCATGTTAGCATTTGTGATACTAGCCTTTGAAATTGTTAGTTTTAGGGAAATAAAGACCAGATGCTCTTTTAAGAGGACACTGCAAAATAAAGATACTTATTTAATTTGTCTTCTGATCTTCTCGATTTGATGCCATCTAACTGCTGCTAGGAGTACCTGATATTTTTCTTTCCAAGAGTAGTGTACTGCACTGTATCTAATTATTTTCTGAAGCAGTATTATTTGTGCAGGTTATAGACTTGGTAGACTTAAGGTAAAATTACGCTTTAGGTTAACAAGGGTCTCTGAGCTTCTGCTCCAAGCCATTTCTAATGTTCTGGAGTTTCCATGCCAAAGCACCTAAGCAGCTGCCAGTTAGGCCAGGCTCTGTACAGGTATTTGTGCATCCATGCATGTTTTATGCGTGCGTATTTTGTTATTAATGCTTTTTATTTTCTGTTTGGGGCTATACAGATGGAGAACCTCAGTGAACAAGAAGAGAACTTAACTGTAGTGGAGGAGCTGGAGATACAGTATTATGAAACGCAGCTGGAATTATATAATGTACAGCTTGAAGTATTGAAACATGAAGAGATGCTGCTTATTGTACAGTTGGACACTTTAAGGAGACAGATTAAAGGTGAGAAAAACAAGTATTTAAGCACATATTCAAGACACAGGAATGATAGAGCCTGCTCTGTTTTCACTTAAAAAAAAAAAAGGATGACTATCACTGCTCAGGTCTCAATAGTAGAAAGCACCACCGGAAAACATTGATGCTGTGGCACCATCTGATATTTTGTCTTCTGACTAATTAGACACTAATTTGATAACACAAGCTTAAAAAAAAGCCACACTGGTAGCTCATCCTGACAGGAGCTGTGATATGTGCATGCACTAGTTTAGCATACGGAATAACTTACACTGAAAGTACTTAACTGCTCTCGTAGTTACAAGATGTACTCATAGAAACTCCGGATGTTGTGACCTGCTGAAATGGGTCCTGAAACTCATCACAAATCTGTTGTAATTTAACATGTAGAAATTACAAAAAATGCATCCTGTAATGATAAAAAGAGGTCATTATAGCTAGATGATACTTGAGTACTGCTGTATTCCAGTTTAAGTGTCTCTTCATAACATGTTTATCACCAAATTAGGCATAGTCTTATTTATGCTTATTTGTGCTTATGAATTCTCTATTACTGTGTACACTGTGAAGTAAGCATTGCTCCTGCTTGTTCCATAATTAAAACCTGGTAAATAGTAAAAGAAGTCGCCCAGCGTTGATCAGAACAGTCTTCAGGTTTCCAGGAAAACTCCACTTGGTGGAAGTAGGAGTTAAAGCACGGAGAGACATTTGAAAGAGGAAGCTAAATAACAACAAATGCTAACAGCATAAATTTGATCCTGCAAAGCACCCCTGTGTGTAACATGACATGTTTGCGTAAGATTTTGAAGGACCAAGCTCGGCTCTGGAGTGTTGCACTTTCTAATAACTAACTCACTGCCTTCAATGGCTTTTAAAATGTAATCAGTTCTTTAAATGTTTAAATAACTGTGGCAATTTTTGGGTTTTTAAAAAAATGCCAAATGCCTTTTTAGAGAAACAGGATGAAGTTGTTTACTATGATACATGTGAAAATCCTGAGGAGCTCAAGGTCATTGAACAGACAATGGGACAACATTACGCTAACTTGTCAGAAATGACGATGCTGAGGCAGAAGACTAAGCAGTTGGAGACAAAGCGTGGGACTGTCTGTGCGAGGAGAGCCTACCTCAGGAACAAAAAAGTAAATGCAGTCCTGGAGATGTGCATTTTCTTTAGCTGATGTCTTGACTCACAAGGGATGGACAGGAAGCAACCAGGGAAGCTTTGGGTGGAGCATACAAGATGATATGTGACTCGGTGCCTAGGCCTCCGAACAGAAAGAGGGACAATGTGATTTTAAGCCAGCTTTACATTCCGCTGTGTAGTGCAAGTGCCTCTCTAGCTTATGAAGAGAGCACAAACTTCCATGGGTGACTGAGGAGGTGTTCCCCTCTCAGCTAAACCTTACCAGAGCCCTGCTGTGGCCAGCTGGAGCTCTGCCCTGGCAGCCTTTTACAAAGCAGCTGCAGTACAGGAGGAAACCTGGCCTGCAATGAAGGAAGCTGCAGTGACAGAGCAACTGCACAGTGACACTTTGCCTTTGAATGGGCGGGAGGGGAAAATTTAACTGCTGTGTTTCTCTCTCTTTACCTCTCAGTTTAGTGCAAAGGGCAGCTTTGCCCTTTGTTTCCCATTCAGAGTAGAACACTAGGAAGACAAAAGCAAGGTCGGAGTTAACTCTCATGAATCTTCCCAGTGAACTGAGCTTAGTTACACCTGCACAGTCCTGCTGAGGCAGGGAGCAGAGTTTAAGCTCCAGTCTGCCTGGATTTTTACGCCTCACTAGTCTGAACAAAATGGGAATGACATTGGAAATGTTTTGTGAGCCATCATTGTCTTTTGCTTGCAACTGCTTCCTCAGCAAACACTTCCTTTGCTTCTGTTTTCATTCACTAAATTGCTGTCTATTGGTTATATAACACTAAAGCCAAATGCCAGATGATTCGCAAATGCTTACCCAACCGTGTGGATAATCTCCCTCTGTACAGTGACAAATAGCGACTCCCAGAGAAAATACTGAAGCCTGCAGCTTCTCTGCGGCACTTGTTACTAACAGAAGGTATCCCTGTTAGGCATTCATTGTGCTTCCCATACCTTTGCTTCCCTGGCTTTTGTACTTGTGAGCTATGGCAAATAAGGAATGGGGGAAAGTAGCCTTGTATTTTTGTAATGCTTTGCTAGCTTCCCTCTTGCCTTCTTCCTTGTGTCTTTGCAGCCCTTTCCTCCAGCTGGTACCTGGGTGAAATTTATTCAGAGGTTGTTTCTGCCTTTTCTTTTCCTTTCCTTTCTTCTCTTTGTTTTTTTTTTTTTTTTTAACCTAAGCATAAGAGAGAGGGATCAGTTCAGATCTGGGTATATTTCCTCTACAGCATGGATAACACTGTCACTAGTTAGGAGAACAAAAGATCCTATTGACTTTAGCCATGAGGGAGTCCCACAGACTTTACCTTACTTACCAGGGCCTCACATGTGCCACTAGTTGAGCTTAGCCAATCCTTCTTGGCACAGCCAAGAACTCAGCCTTGGTCACTGTTTAGTGGCTTGTGCGCAGGAGTTAATGGCACAGATGGTGCGCAGGGAATGTGAACTAACCAATGGTTGCATGAATTTTGCTGTTCCACCAGGACCAATGTGAAGCACGCCATCGGCAGAGACTGCAACAGGCAGAAGAGAGCAAAAAACACTTCCAGCAACATCACAGCATACAGATAGTGAGTACTGAATAGCAGCCTTGGAGAATCTGGCAGCTGCTTGTTTCCACATGCTAAGGCTCACTCACTTGTGTTTTAATGCAGAAGAGAGACAAGCAAAAAGAGGAGGAGAAAAAGAAAAAAGCTTGGATAAGCCAGGAACGTCAGAAAACACTGGAGAGGCTGAAAACGTTCAGGGAGGCAAGTACTGTGACCTAGAGTAGTCGTAAATAGTGTCAAAACACAATATTAGAGCTGTAGCTCACATGTGAGCAAAGTCCAAATCAGAGGCTGGATAGCCTAAAATAGAATTGTATGTAATGAGTCAGGAGGATTAAATCCACTAAGGGTATTGTTTCCAGGTACAGAACTTATTGCAAAGAATACAAGTGAGGAAATGGCTTTGAAAGAAATACATTGATATTAATTTCAAATCTGTTAAGGGTTGAATTTTCTGCTTGAATGGGTGAATGCAACAGGTCTGCACTCTGGCTTTTTGTCTCTTTAGGGTTGATGTTTTGACCAGTCCGATGGAGATGTGACCTCCTGCCTTATGATCTGTTTTTCAGAAGTGTCCAGCTCATGTTGTTCTGAAAACGTCTCGTCCCCAGCCTCTCAGTCCCAGGTTGCCACAAAGCATCACTCAGCAGGCTGCAGTACTGTCCCCTCCACCTTTGTCAAGAGTAAGGGCAGCTCCAGAGCAGCCAAAGAGCATGCTGCTAGTAGAAGCCAAAGAATCAAAAGCTTCACATCAAAATACCCCAGCAGATATCCCTGTCCAGATTTTGGTTACTGATGGTGACACAGAGCAGCAAAAGCACAGTGGGGGGTTGATGGTCTCTCCATCCTTGCCACCACCACCACCTCCTCCACCCCCTCCTCCTCTACCCCCTCCTCCCCCACCTCCCCCCTTACCTCTCCAGTTAAAGACAACATCAACAACAGATAAACCACGTCCCCTTAGCTCCAATAGCCCCACAGAAAGCCCTGCACTGCACAAACAGGATGACACATCCAGGGGATCTATAAATAATTACATAGGTAAGAAGGCTCACATTTACTAGTGTTTATTTTGTTTGTTTCCTGTATTTTTCTGTTCTCCCTCCTTTTGGTTCTGGACAGGAATAGTGTGCAGTCTTGATCAAGAGAATGAAGCTCTTGGAAAGCTTAGTCTAAGAAACCACATACAATAACACTGACCATATCTCAGGATGATAAATGAGTAGCAATGATGTGTGTATCCTGTTTGATACACTTCACAGTCCTGATGCTTAGTGTGTGTGATTCAGTGTTTTTGGGGAAGTCCTGTCAAATGGGACAGGACAATCTTTTAGGACATTTGAACTTGAATCTCTGATGCAATGCTCCATTTATTAAGTATAGCCTTGCAAGTTAGTTTAAACCATGCTTAATCATAGCACTGCTGGCTCTGTGGGGATCTTAATTCAGGATGTGCATTTCTTCTGACACTGAAAATTCCACTGCTATAATCAGTAGGAAGGTGTCAGGATAAATTCCAGAGTGAGGAAGTTTATTAATTTTGTTTGGTGAGAAGCATCTTTTTATTACTAGGTTTATTCTTACCACAACTTTGGAACCGAATGTGGTATTTTGATTGAGGATGAATCACCTGTCCAGTCAGAAGACCACAGTGGGTAAATTTGTGGTTGTACTAAGGCTACACTCAGTGTTCATGATTTATGTACTACAAAGCTAGCAGGTGGGCTGCTTGCATTTCTAAGGTATGCACAGCCTGTGTCCACTTACAGTTTGCTTGGTTTCTAAATAAATGTTTCTTAAGAGAATTCATGCAGAATTCAACCAGGATTTTAAAGGCAGATGGATAGCTTTGGCATACTAACATTCCTAGGGCAAAAATTCTGCTCTGTTACACCTCTCTTTTGTTAGCAAGATCATGCAGGTGTAATTGAAGGCAATTGAAACAGTAGTTTGAATGAGAATAGAGCTCAGCAGCCTCCCAAGGCTGCACTGGTTACATCCTGCTAACAGGCTTATTTTTATCGCTAAAGCAAGCAGATATTTTGACTATGTCAGGGAGATTGATCTAAGTTGGAAGGCAGTGAAGCATGTCTTTAAATGTGGTACATTCCTTTTCCTTTTCAGACTACTCACAATACATCTAAGCAGCCTTTGTATCCTCTCAGTTAAGAGGCAAACTGCGGGCAGAAATACGAAGGAAAGTACAGCATTTTCAGTTCTTCCAAGGTGTGGGGAAGTACAAGCAGCTGAAGGGCTGAGACGCAGTTGAGTTTCCATGACAAACTACTGTGCATCCATTGGATCAGTGCATGGACTTCAGACTGGGAGGTCTGTGGGATAACTCTACCACAGATACTCTTAAGAAGCGTTGATTAGTAACAGGAGTTGTAAACCAGAGTAGTCTGTTACTGGAACAGTCTTGCTAGAAGCTAATATTTGCTACCATTCACAGCCTAACATTGGTGTCCTTTCATTATTTTTGGATAAGAAAAATCCTTTTTAGTTTATTGGAGAGATCTGATTGGTTGTTTACACCTATTTCATGAAGAAAACCAGCATGTTAATTGCTGTAATATTGATAAAATACTGTCACAGGAACTTATTGAAACAGTTTTGTAAACAGGTTGGTTTTAGTTACACATGGGCTATTCATGTCTTTGTACATGAAAAGTCAGGAGAGGTTCATATTCTGGTGTTGAAAATACTGTCTGTAATGTGTTAACATACTTTCCAAGGGGAGCTTCTTTCATAATTTTTTAGTCTGACTAGTCTTTTACCGGGCAGCCCATTTGATTAATAGACTTAAGACTTTCTTACTTGAAGGCTTTGTAAGACAACCTGGTGGATCTTTGCTTTATCCTTTTTTTGGCATCTCAGTCTCTGAAGGTACCACAGGATTTAAGCTGAATGTAACATTTCAAGTGTTTGATGTTAGTCACATAACCTTATGTGCACTGCGCATGGCAAAAATACTTCTGGCTGTGAGGCACAGATGGTCTGGACCTATGGCTGTAGGAGTCGACTGCTGTCCAGGGAAAATGCCTCCCTGTCTGACAGTCTGAAGCTAGCAACAAAGAATCCAACAGAAAGAGTAAAAGGCAAATTACAGTGTGTAGCAAGAGAACTAGTGGAGGCTCTCTCAGTATGGTGTCCTTTATGGTCTTAAGTTCAGAAACATACGCCTGAGATTTAAATCATGTTGTAAAATGGGAATTATTTTTTAAGTCCATACAGAAAAGAGCTGCCTGCCTGCCTGCTTAGGGCCTGATCTGGCTCCCACTGACTTCAGTGGTGCAGTTTCAAGCCCTTCTACTCAAATCCTTTCATTTTTCTCTTGGCTGAGCAAAACCACAATTGACAGTCTCAGCAGGCATCTGAGCAAGCTAGGAGGAATGGTAGATTGTTTTGTAATACAGAATACAAGAGATTTTTTGGTTCAGTTAAGTTTTTTTGAAAGCCCGTAAAGTTGTAATGAAAAAGAAGCATCCTCCTTTGTGTATAATTTGTTCCTTAGAGCACAACCTTGTATAATCTTGAAGAGGCATTGGATTCTCAATTCAAGATATAAAAGCTCTAACTGCTTTTTGAAAGCAGTTCCAGAGCCTGCTGTAGCAGAATCTTGAAAGAGTCTGTGCCAGAATAGGCCGTTCATTTTCCTGTCTCTAGCAAAGATGAAAGGAAGAACCCTGAACACTTGGGTAGGGTTTTATACCTCTAAGCGTGGTTGTCTTGTTCTTTCCTCTGGTAACAACAGATCTAACTGTTGCAGGTTCCATGGATGAGGTTTTGGCTTCTCTAAAGCGTGGTGAAGTTCATCTTCGCAAAGTGGAACAGCCAAATCCATATGCCTCTGTAAAAGAGAACATCCTCTCTGCCATAAGGCAAGGAGTTAAACTAAGAAAAGTGAATCGAGATCCAGAGAAAGATGTCAGTAAAGGATCCACTAATGAACTAGAGAGAAGCATTAAAGCAGTCATCCAGAGAATTAAGAAAATGTCTGCTGACTCTGAAGAAGAGGAGAACAATGATCAGAATAATGGAGAATGGGACAGCTAACCAATACAGAGTAACAGAATTACTGACTGGAACAGTGTGTGTCTCATTTTGCACATTGTAGAAGACCGTCCCTTCCAAAATGAAACAAAGGTGTGATTGTGTGTATTCTTCTCATAGTCTAAAATGTCTTGTAAAGTAAAAGGATCCTGTTGATTTTCTATAGAAGCTGCAGATTCTTATTTTTGCATGAAAAATCATACTCAAAATTATGCTTGCATTAATTATTTCTGGCTCAACCACGTAGAGTTTTCACCACATCTGAAGACAGCTAAAATGCTGGATTGAAACATACATTATTGAGGTTATTACAACACAGTAGGTAATGCTATCACAACAAAGTTTAAGGAGTGAAAAACTAACTGAAAATCTGTTTTGTCAGCTAAAAGTAGAACCAAATCCGTGGTGATGGAGGCAGACCAGAAAACTTAGCATAATCTAGAACCTGTCATTGCTACCTCCATTGTCCAGATTCTGTAACATTTTCCTCATCTAATACAGCTTACACTCAGATAACTACATGGATACTCCATTTATCATTATATTATAAAGTATGCACTCATGAATGGACTTGATAATGCTGATTGGCAAAATTAGTATCAAGTTTTAAATGAACACTACAGTAGCAGTTACTGATAACTTTTTATCTGGAAACTTAAATACATAGATTTTTGGATGCTAAATGTTTTTTGTACATCTACATTTATAATGAACTGTTGGCATGAAAGAAAGAGCCAAAATATTGTATATAAAATTTTCTGGGATCTAGCCCTGTAATACAGAGCTGCATTTCTCCCCTGAGAACATCAATACATGTTTATAGCTATTCATGAATTTAAATTACCCGATAGCCTTATAAATGGCAGATACTTACATTGTGCCTGGAACCTGACTATTTAAAAATTCAGCTACATTCAATTTAGAGACTGTTTCTATTTTGGGTAGATAGTGACAAAAATGCTTCAAAGTTTCTTTTGGAGTTTATACTGACCCTTAATAAAAATATATCCTGACAGAAGTGGATTCAGTGCTGTCATTTTAGGATACAGCTGTGATGTAAAGCATTACTTACACCATGGTACTCTGTTTTTTGATAGCAAGTGGCAGCCATACAGCAACTGTGCTCTCTCACTAGCGGTATATGTAAATGCCCTTATTTTCTCAAATACTTTTGAATTGTAATTTGGAAACAAAATTGCAGATATAGTGCTTTAATTCCCTGTTTTACTGTAGAGTAGCAGATCTGTTTAATCAGCACAGTAAATATATATGCAACAGTCTTCATGTGAGAAGCAGCAGCTGGGGGTTCATTTTTTATCATTTCAGCACCTACTGCTATTTGGAAGTCAGAAAAAAAACACACCTTTTTTTTTGTCCACTGCCGTCAAACCAAATGGAGACAAAAGCAGCAGCACAGGTCAGTTCTTACTGAAGCCCCATGACACGGTATCTGCAGAGGGGAGCAGGGGGCATGGTGCAGCTCTGTGCCCACACCACCCTACCTGCCCCCGGCCATGCTGAACCGGGGCCATGCGGGAGGATCTGTTGCACGTTCAGGTTTCAACATCCCAAATGCTGAATGCTTCCCGTAGACTGGAACTGGGACAAAATCTGGTCCTTTAAGAGTGGAGATCTCTTCCCCAAGGACGTCCTGGGCAGGTGGGTGCTCAGCCAGCAGCAGGGAGGGCGGAGGGGGCTGGGAGCTGCCCTCTCACAGGCCGTGCCCTTTAGTGGTGTGGTTATTTAAAGCTGAGCAGAAGGGTGCAGAGGCTCGGCTGCCTTCCCACAGCTGGTCCCTCCTGCCAAATGGCAGCTCAGAGTCCAGAGCAGAGCCCTTTGCTATGGTTGAATTCTCAGTTACAGTGCTAGGAAGTTAAATGCAGCAGTTTAAGGTATGCAGAGAATAAGTGAGTTGCAATTTCTCTGATAAATCGTACAGCATTTCTGTGTTTTAACAGCAGCGATTTTCCTCAGGAGAGGCTGAATAACAGTGACAGTGGACAGTGATTTCTCCTACCTAGAGTTTTCTTCTGCAGATGTTCCTGAAGCTCAGCTGGGGGCCGATCTCAGGTGCTCAACAGAGCTCTCTAAATCCCAGGCTGAAAAACATCCTTCAAAGCCTGCTCAGAAACTGTCTGAACCCATCTGTTTTCTGAAGCCCACTTCATTTGCTGTATGGCTAACAGGCCTGCTCTGTGGAAAATGTGCTGCAGCAATTTTCTGGTTGGTGTGAAACATTTCACCACTATCAGTTCACACCTGGTTCACAACCAAAACTTGAAGGATGCTACTTGGTAGAGATGCGCCCTGATGGGAACAGGGCTGCCAGGGCACAGAGCAGCCCTTGCACAGCCGCAGCGCCGGGGGCCGCCGGCAGGGTCCTGTCCGTGCCCAGAGGCCCAGCTCCTGGCCAGAGGCAGCTGCTGGAGCACCAACACTCCTGGACATCAGAAACATGAGCACAGAAAACACCAAAAGCACTAGTGTTAGCCTAAAGAAGAGAAGGTGAGAGAGCAGTATTCAAATACACGAGAGGCTGCTGCAAAGAGGGGAGTAATTTGTTCTGCGTGTTCACAGGGAGTTAAGGGGCTTAAATTATAGCTGGAACTATTCAGGGTAATGGTAGGAAAACCTTTCTAACAAACAGTGAGAGCAGAGAGGTGCAGGGACAGATTGCCTGGGAGTTTCTGTCACTGGAAATCTTTAAAAGCAGGTTAGACAAATACACCCCGAGGTGCCGCTGGTATTGCTGACGCGCTGCAGCAGGGAGAGATTCGCAGCCTGTGGCCAGCACATGTGGCGAGCTCATCGTTGTACTGCCTTGAGGCTCAGTTTGCTCTGCAGGCGAAGCCAGAGCTCGTTTTCTGAGAGATGCCCAAATGCAAGGAGAGTGAAAAAAATCCCTACTGAATCACCCTCCGATTTTTTCTTCTGGCTGTCTGTGACTATGACCTGTCCTGTGCCACTGGCACTGGGCTGTGGAGGAAATGGTGGGCAGGAAATGGCCCCCAATTTACCCCAGACTGATGAGGTGCTCAAGAGAAGCCACCTGCAAGTGTGAAGAGCAGTGAGGCTTTAATCCAGATTTGAGCTCAGGCTTCCACAGGCGTTTTCCCATCTCTGCACATTCCAGCAGGTTCAGTGCAGCTGCTGGTGTCACGCACTTTCAGCAGTGTGTGAGGGCTGATGGACAAAATGGGAGAAACTGGAGTGGTGGGTTGGCTCTGAAGTGACCAGCTCTACCAGACTAGATTAACCTACAAAACTGCTGTGACAGCTTTTTGACATTTAATACCCTTCCTAAAGTATCTCACCCTGGGCTAGTAAATTAATCCCTCAGTGGGAATAGTCTGCCCTGATGGTTCAACTGCCAAAATTGATTTGTTCAAACTGAAAAAATACAATTGTCTGGCTTTAAAGAGTTAATAATGCACAGATTTGCTGGGAAACCTGGTAATGAGGTAAAGAGATCAATTTCTATAAATCAGTATTGCTGTGGCTTGTGATCTCTCTAACTATGATGTGGGCAGTCCAGATGGCAGCTGCCAGTATTTTTAGGGAGGTTTAAAGTTAATTTATTCAAAGACTACTTGGTCTGACTGAAAGAATTTCACTTTGAAATCCCAGTGCTTTGATCACAGCAAGAGGAGTCGTGGCAGCGTTACCCGGTGCGTGGAGCACTATGGCCATAGCTGGTAATGCCAGTGCAGCTATGGATTTGTCAGCATTTCTGTCGATGTGCTGCTTTTTGGGATTTATGAAGCTCCTCCACAACTTAACCCCCCCACTTCAGCACACAGGGCTGACTCACAAGCTGCATACCGACTTCTTTTTTTCTACAAAATAGTACTGAATGAAGCAAATCAAGTCTGTGAACACCCTGAAGTGATCTAGTCTGATCTTACAGGGGCTTGAGCAAGTATGTCATTTCACTCGTGCATATTCCAAGAGCCTCTTTGAATTGATTTAATACGGTTTGGAAATTGATGCTGATTTATATAACATGCTTGCACAAAGATATCCCGTCCTCCCCCATGGGCTTCTCAGCAACAGGCAACAACTCACCCCATCAGCAGGTCATGGAGTTTCTGCTGTTTGCACAAAGGATGGGGAATGTGTCTGGAGCTGGGAGATGCCTGGTCCCCACCACCAGTGCATGGGAACTGTAGGCATTTCTACATACAGAGAGCTATAAACATGCTATAAAAGTACTTCACCTAGTATCAAGTTGTGCTGAAAACCCCAAAGCCTATCTTCATTCAAACCACATGGTCTTCCTCCCTGGCTGTTTTCTAAGACATACGGTTGAAAGAGGCTGGTGTGCTGCATGAGCAGCCGGCTCGCCTGTGTGAGCCAGGCTGTGCCTGACTGCTGCAGGCATTTGCCTTTGTCTTCCTGCTACAATGAAGACAAAAACCCCACTAAATTTCTGTTTCTACCGAAAAATCAAGGTTTAACCTGGTCTTTACAGGGCCTTTCCTTCTCTCCCCCTCACAGAGGAACCAGCCCAGGGATGTCTCTTGCCCCAGGTGAGGTGAGAGTGCTGATGTTGCCCTGCCAGCCCACCTGGGCCAGGGCTGAGATCCCAGTGGTGCCACCACTGGCCTCCTGCTGACCCTTGTGTCTGAGAGGCCACAGAAACCCTGTGGAACTGCAGGGACTACTGAATATGCCTGAGCCTGAAGCAGTGTCTAGGAAGGTTTGCAGGCCAGCACCCACAAACCATCCTTTGGTTGCTTCCACTCCTTTCTTTTAGCCCTTGAAATAAAAAAATTCACATGTACCCCAGGACACCAGGAGCAAGTGGGACAAAGAGAAGCAGTGTGAAGGCATACATTAGGACTAACTGAAAGCTGGGAAATGCTTCTTTATTTAACCCTCCTCTACAAAGAAGAGGTTGGTAGGGTGTGCACCCTTTGGAGAAAATGAGACTTAAGGCTACACATGCCCTGACTTGAAAAGCGTGGTTTTAATTCCAAAACTTCCTGTTTGCATCCAAGAGCACATCTGTGTACTGCACGCCATAGTAATGTGATATTGGTAGGAGAGAGGGCTGCATCATTTCAGTTAAACCCATGGCGATGATAAAAGGTGAATGGTATTGAAGGCATCTTTTAATAAATGCCACAGCAAACCCTGGCAGCAAAAGAAGCTCAGAACAATATGTGAATGAATCCCTGGGGGAAACACACTCAAAACTGCTCCAGAACATGACTTTTTTTTTTTTTTTTTCCTGGCAAAAAGGTATGTGATTTTCATTCTCAGCATGTCATGCTAAGCTGAAAGCAAGAGGCAGCAAAATTAATCTGCTCAGGTAGCAGTGACATTAACAGCTCAGCTACTTGTGAAAATGCTTTGTAAAACAAGCCATCTTTAGCACGCCATTGCTCTAGCAGTAAGAATGAGACACAACCTGCTCAGGATATATATTTAGTAAAACTACATTTACTCATTTTCCACTAGATTCCCCCTCCTGCCCCAGATCTCCAACAAAGCACTGAGGACAGAAGCAAAAAGCAGCCTCCCTGGGCAGCTGGCTGCAGGTAAGCAGGGTTGTATGGCTGTGTCTCGGGGCCAGCCCCGAACAAGGGCATCCTGATGGAAAGGGAACATATGAATTCCCTGACTCACAGCAACGTACAGCCCTACCCTGCTAGTACCCAAAGGGTAAGCAGTCTGGGGAAATACTGGCCAGGCTGCAGTCTGGGGAAGAAACTCAATGTCCTGCTGGGAGACTGGGTTTAACCCTACTTCAAAGAGTTGGCCAATCACTCTTAGTGTCATAAAGATATTCGCAGTTCCCTTCTAGCCCGAGGCAGTAGTCTAAACACCATCCCATGGGTGGTTTTGCATAACCAAAAGGTATTTCTCTGAGAAGCGGCAGCAGGCTCTGCTCCACCCCCAGTTTCCATCTTCTCACAGGAAGGGTTTGAGCGGCAGCCAGCTCTGACGCCAGCAGCGTGGTATCTGTGTGTCTCGGCACTGTGGCAGTGGGCAGTGCAGACACTGAGGGTG